TTGACCACAGAGGGACAGAGTGTGTGTGAGAGAGAGGGAGAGAGAGAGAAGGAGAGTGAGAAAGTAAGCCACCAGGTCCAGGACTCGAATCCTGGTTGGCCATGGGGGAGTCCAGCGCCCTTAACCACCACGCCACCAGCCGGCCCCAATAAAATCTTTCTTCTTTTTTTTTTTTGGAGACATTTTTCGCTATAGGGCGTGTGCGCTCGCCAGACAGACAGAGAGAGACATAGAGACAGAAAGCAAGAAATCACCCCCCAGAGGGGATGGCCACACCGCAATCCCTTCTCCTCCATTCTCCTCTCGGGATCTTGGGCACGCACGCACACGTGCCCGGCGTGAGTTTTAAGCCACCGGGTCCAGGACGCGAACCGCGGTCGACTACGTGGGAGTCCAGCGACATAGCCATTACACTAACTGCTGGTTCCCACCAATAAAATAATTCTTAAAAAAAGAAAAAGAAAAAAGTTACTGGGGAAAATAATGTCTTTGGGGTGAGGCAGGCTTTTGGGATTGAGGGAGTTGGGGGGTGGGTAGCGGGACTCCAGGCAAGATCAGATTGCCTTGAGTCTAGGCTGGGACAGGAAGAGAGGAGAAGGGCTGGGGATGGGAGATAGCATTGGGGTACCCTTGGACTCTAGCCAGCCCCAGCACCGGCCCTTCCAGAACAAGCTTGGATGTGGATCCTGGCACCAGCCAGCGCCTGTGTTCCTGCACTCCTTTGGAGGGGCCCACACATCTTGTATAACAAGTCCCCAATTGGTGGCTGGCTGGACCAACCTGAGAAACCAGCCTTCCTTGGGTGTGAACCAGACGTGGGGCTGGTAGTTGGCAGATAATGCCCGGGACGGCGTGCAGGTGGGGCTCCGTCTGGCAGGGCAGGGCTGGGCTGTCTTTTCTGGTGTCAGGGATGAGGCCTAGGGCAGGTGTAGAGAAGGGATGGGTATGTCAGTACGCGTGGCGTTCGAGCGTGTTAGGTTTTTCTCTTCCTTTTTCTTTTTTTAAAAGAGATTTATTGCTATAGGGCGCGTGCACTCACCAGACAGACAGACAGAAAGTGTGAAATCACCTCCGGTGGGTTGACCAAACTGCAGTCCCTTCTCCATTTTCCTCTTGGGATCTTGGGCCACGCACGCACATGTGCTTGGTGTGAATTTTAGACACCAGGCCCAGGACTCATATCATGGTTGACTATGTGGGGGGAGTCCAGCGACATAACCATTAAACCATCTGCTGGGGGACCAGCAGGTTGGCATAATGGCTATGTCGCTGGACTCCCCTGTAGGCAACTGCAGTTCGAGTCCTGGACCCGTTGGCGTAAGCTCATGCTGAGCACGTGTGTGTGCGTGGCCAAGATCAGGAGAGGAGAATGGAGCAGAGGGGATGGTGGCGTGGCCATCCCTTCTGGGGGGTGATTTCTCACTTTCTGTCTCTCTGTCTCTCTCTGTCTTTCTGGCGAGCAAAAACCTCTCAAAAAAAAATCTAGTTTGATTTTTTTTAAAATTTGCTATTGGGGGGTGGACAGCAGGTGATGTGATGGTTAGGGACTCTGGTCTCCCACATGGCCAGCCATGGTTCAAGTCCTGGACTGGTGACTTGCTTTCTCACTTTCCCTCTCTCTCACTCTCTTACTCTTGTCAAATTAAAATAAATAAATAAATAAAGTTAAATTTAAAAATATATTTAAATTAAAAAAAAAGAATTATTTATTTATTATCATTATTTTTCAATTTTGACCAAAGAAAGAGAGCAATCAGCCAGGTCTGGAACTCGGACCATAGTCAGCCATGTGGGAGTTCAGTGCCCTTAACCACCCCTCCACCTGCCGGCTCCCAAAAGATACTTCTTTAAAAAAAATTTGCTATAGGGTGTGTGTACTCAACAGAAAAGACAGAGAGAAAGAGAGAAAACATCCCCAAGGAAATGGCCACACTGCAATCCCTTCTCCTCCATTTTCCCCTCAGGATTTTGGGCATGCATGCACATATGCCTACTGTGGTTTTCTTTTTAAAGAATTATTTTATTTATTTATTATTTTTTAAATTGTGTTTTAGAAATTTTAATTCTTTTTTTTTTTTGAGAGTTTTTTTTTTTTCCGTAGGGCACTTGCGCTCACCAGAAAGACAGAGAGAGAGAGAAAGAGAGAGAGAGAGAAAGAAGTCACCCCCCAGAGAGGATGGCCACCCCTCAGTCCCTTTTCCTCCAGTCTCCTCTCAGGATCTTGGGCATACACGCACACACACCTGTCCTGAGTTTAAGCCATCAGATCTGGGACTCGAACCACTGTCGACTACCTGAGAATCCAGAGACATAGCCACTACGCCAACTACTGGTCCCTCTTTTTAGAGAGATTTTTGCCCTAGGGCACACGCACTCACCTGAGAGAGATAGAGACAGTGAGAGAGAAAATGAGAAATTGCCACCTAGCGAGATGGCCACACCACAATCCCTTCTCCTCCACTTCCTCCTGGAACTTTGGGCACACACACCCATTCATGCCTGGCATGATTTTTCAAGCCACCAAGTCCAGGACTTGAACCGTGGTGGTAGACAATATGACAGCCCAGTATCTTAATCTCTACACCATCGGCTGGCCCCCAAACTAATTTTTAAAAATAGATTTATTTTAAATTGTATTTATTATTTATTATTTATTTTTTTGGAGAGTTTTTTTTTTTTTTTTTTTTTCTTAAAAGGGGGGTCTCGCCAGACAGACAGAGACAGAGAGACAGAAAGTGAGAACTCACCCCCCGGGGGGGATGGCCGTGCCGCATTCCCTTCTCCTCCATTCTCCTCTCCGGATCTTGGGCACGCACGCACACGCGCCCGACTTGTTTTAAATCACCGGGTCCAGGACTCGAACTGTGGTTGATGTAACCATTATGCCAATTGCTGGTCCTTCTCCTAACTAATTTTTAAAGGCTATTCTACGGCAATGTTAGGCTTACAGAAAAGTTTTAGAGTCCCTAAGCCTCCCTCTTCTCCCCGACAATTTCTTTTTTACATTAGGGGGATACATTTGTTATAATGAATGAACCTGTACAGATACATTGTATTAGTAGTATTGTTAGTTTATCTTTTTTTTTTTTTTTTGGCCAGAGGACACATGTTCCTACCAAAGAGAGACAGAAAGAGGGAGAAAGCACCCCCCCCCCATGGGCATGGTTCGACTGGAATCCCTTCTCCATCTCTCCCTCCTTTGGGGAGTTTGGGCATGCATGCACACGTGCCTGGCGTGTTTCTCAAACCGTCTGAAATAGGATTCAAACAGCGGTTGGCCATGCGGGATCTCAATCCCTATGCATAGGGCTTAACTGCTATAATGTGAGCCAGAGTCCTAGAATTTACCATTATAAAGCAGCATCAGAAAAAAAAAGTGTATAGGCACCAGCTGTTGGCGTAACGGCTATGTCGCTGGACTCCCGTGTAGTCAGCCGTGGTTCGAGTCCCGAACCCAGTGGCTTAAACTCACGCCGGACACGTGTGCGTGCGTGCCCAAGATCCCGAGAGGAGAATGGAGGAGAAGGGATTGTGGCATGGCCATCCCCCCTGGGAGGTGATTTCTTGCTTTCTGTCTCTGTCTTTCTGGTGAGCACATGCATCCTATAGCAAAAACCTCTCCGGAAAAAAAAAAAAAAATGGATGGGGCTAGCAGGTGACATGGGGGACTGTGTGGTTCGGGTACCAGACTCGTTTGAGAAACACACTGGGTGCGTGTACATGTGTGCCCCAGGTCCCCAAAGGAGAAAGGACAGAGTCATGATATTGTGGCACAATCATCCCCTTATGTGGGGGGTCCTTTCTCATCTCTCCTCTCTCTCTTAGGTGAGTACAAGCACCCTCTGGCAAAAAAATAAATAAATAAATAAATAAAAATAAATGAAAAAAGAAAAAGAAAATCATACCAGGCACATGTGTGTGCATGCCCAAAATCCCAAGAGGAAATAGAGGAGGAGAAGGGATTGTGGTGTAACCATACCCGGGAGGGGAGGGTTGATTTCTCACTCTCTCTGTGTCTCTGTGTCTCTGTGTCTCTGGTGAACACACATGCTTTATAGCAAAAATCTCTCTCTCTCTTTTTTTTAATAATTATTTTATTTAACTTTATTTATTTTAATTTGACCAGAGTGAAAAAGAGGAAAAGTGAGAAAGCAAGCTGCCAGGTCTAGGGCTCGAACCGTGGTTGCCTATGTGGGAGTCCAGCGCCTTTAACCACCATGCCACCTACTGGCCTCACAAAAATCTCTCTAAAAATAGGGGTGGGGGACTGGCAGGTGGTGTGGTGGTTAAAAGGGTTGGCTTCCCACATGGCTGACCACAGTTCGAATCCCGGACCTGGTGGCTTGCTTTCTCACTTTTCCTCTGTCTCTCTCTGATCAGACTGGAAAATAATAATAATAATAATAAATAAAGTAATTTTATTCCTTCATTCATTTATTTTTAATTTGACCATAGAGAGACACAGAGAACGAGAGAGAGGGAAAGTGAGAAAGCAAGCCCCCAGACCCGGTTACTCAAAAGGTGTCCAGAGCCTTAACCACCATACCACCTGCTGGTCCCAAAATAAAATAATAATAATTATTATTTTTTAATTTGTTTTATTCAACTTTATCTATTTATTTATTTTGACCAGAGAGGGACAGAGAGAGAGAGAAGGAAAGTGAGAAAGCAAGCGCCAGGTCTGGGACTCAAACTGTGGTCAGCCATGTGGGAGTCCAGCATCCTTAGCCACCACACCACCTGCCAGCCCCTAAAATAATGATTTTTTTTTAATTAAAAAAAAAAAAGTCTGGAGGCGTACCCCTGAGTGAACCCAGCTAGCCTGCTGGCTGGAGGTCATGGCTCCGGCGACCAAGAGGCGTCTTTGGTGTGTGGGATTCCCATGGATCAGCAGGTGCTGTCTGAGAGCGCACCAGGCTGGACGCCAGGGGGCGTCGAGGGTACGGCACGCGTGTGGCTGGTCCCCGCCAGCACTGACCCCCTGTACGTGTGTTCCCCAGGATGTTGCCAGTCACGGAGAGCATGCTCCACCTCCTGGGGCTGGAGAAGACGGCCTTCCGCAAGTACGCCCTGTCCCTGCTCCTGCTGTCCCTGCTCTTCTTCCTCTTCCGCCTGCTGCTGCAGTTCCTGCGCCTCTGCCGGGCCTTCTACGTCACCTGCCGCCGGCTGCGCTGCTTCCCCCAGCCGCCCCGTCGCAACTGGCTGATGGGCCACTTGGGCATGGTGAGTGCGGGCCGGGCAGGGCTGGGCAGGTGCAGGCGAGTTCGTGAGCATGACGGGGCAGCCCGGCTGCTGTACCCTAAGCTGGATGCTGCTGCCTAGTAGGCCCAGGCCACGTGGGAGCCCAGGGTTCGATTCCCCACACCGACCCTTAAGGCACTGGACTCCAACATGGTCAACTGCAGTTCAAGGCCTGGACCCACTAGCTTAAAACTCGACCCCCGGGCGCGTGTGCATGCATGCCCAAAATCTCAAGAGGAGACTAGAGAAGGAGGGATTGCAGTGTGGCCATTCCCCGTGTGGGGTGCTCTCTCGCTTTCTGTCTTTCTCTGTCTTTCTAGTGAGCACACGCACCCTATAGTGAAAATCTTCCAAAAAAAATAATAATAGAAATCTACGCATGGTGATGCGTACCGGTTGTCCCAGCTCAGTAAACAGAGGCAGGTGGCTTGCAAGACAATGAGACCCTTTCTGAACACACACATGCACACACACAAACACACACACACGCACACACACATACACACACATGCCAAAAAAGAATGGCAGGTCTGCAAGCTTCCCTCATCCTCCCCAAGAATCCGGTTAGGGATGTGAGCAGACCATTTCACAGGGTATAAGACTGAGTGAGGCTGGGACCAGCGGATGGCGTCATGGTTACGTCTCTGGACTCCTATGTGGTTGCTTGCTAGCCTGTGGTTTGAGTGCTAGATCCAGTGGCTTAAAACACACTGGAGGGAACCAGCAGTTAGCGTAATGGCTATGTCGCTGGACTCCCACGTAGTCGACCGCGGTTCACGTCCCGGACCCGGTGGCTTAAAACTCACGCCGGGCGTATGTGCGTGCGTGCCCAAGATCCCGAGAGGAGAATGGAGGAGAAGGGATTGCGGCGTGACCATCCCCCCTGGGATTTCTCGCTTTCTGTCTCTATGTCTCTCTCTGTTTGTCTGGCGAGCGCACGCATCCTATAGTGAAAACTTCTCAAAAAAAAAATTCACACTGGATGTGTGTGTGTGTGTGTGTGTGTGTGTGTATGCCCAAAGTCCCAAGAGGAGAATGGAAGAGAAGGGATTGCAGTATGGCCATCCCTCCTGGGCAGTGATTTCTCACTTTCTGTCTTTCTGTCTCTGTCTCTTCTGAGCACACACTCCCAATAGCAAAAAAATCTCTTTCTCTCAAAATAAACCAAAAAACAAAAAACTGAGGTTCAGGGTCAGGCCCCATGACCTAGTGGGGACCTGGATCACACATGCCTGACTGTGATTCAAATCCCAACTCTGCTGGCTTGAAAAACAAGCTGGGTCCATGTGCGTGTGTGTCCCAACTCCTAATGGGATGGGGAGACGCAGGAGGAGGCATTGCAGCGTGACTAATCCCCACTGGGAGGTGCTTTCTCCCTCTCGCTCTCCCTTCCTCTCTTTGTTTCTCTTTGCCTTGCCCTGGGAGGGGAGGAAACTGAGGCTCAGAGAGGCCAAGTGAGTGTTGTGCTCTGGCAGCAGGTTGCTTGGTGGTTAAGGCACTGGATCCCACATGGTTGAGTCTGTGGTTCGAGTCCTGAATCTGGTGGTTTGTAAAACATGCTGGGCACATGTGCGTGCATGCCCCAAATCCCAGGAAGATAATGGAGGAGATGGGATTGCAGCATGGTCATCCCCCCACCCCCTGGCTGGGGGTGATTTCTTTTTTTTTTTTGGAGAGGTTTTTGCTATAGGGTGTGTGCGCTTGCCAGCCAGACAGAGAGAGACATAGAGACAGAAAGTGAGAAATCCCCCCCCATGGTCATGCCGCAATCCCTTCTCCTCCATTCTCCTCTAGGGATCTTGGGCATGCACGCACACGCGCCCGGCGTGAGTTTTAAGCCACCGGGTCTGGGACGCGAACTGTGGTCGACTACGTGGGAGTCCAGCGACATAGCCATTACGCTAACTGCTGGTTCCCGGGGGATGATTTCTCACTTTCTTTCTCTAGCTGTCTCTATCTCTCTCTCTCTTCCCAACAAGTGAATACACCCTAGGGCAGAAATATAAAAACAAACAAACAAACAAAAAAAACAGAGAAGGTACACCATTTACCCGGGGTCACACAGCTTGGGATGAGGCATAGCGGAGCCTAAAGACAAGCTCGTTGTATAATTCTACCGTTATCACTGTTCCAAGAAGTACGACGGTCTGAAATTTGGGATCCCGGGACCAGAAGGTGGCATGGTGGTTAAGGTGCTGGACACTCCCACATGGCTGACCATGGTTCAAGTCCTGGACCTGGTAGCTTGCTTTCTCACTTTCTCTCTCTCTCTCTCTCTCTGGTCAAATTAAAATAAATGAATGAATGAATAAAATAAATATTTTTTAAAAATTGGGGATCCCAAAATGAGGGTGGGGATGAAAGTGGGGGGATGACGAATTGTCCCCTAGGGGGCAGAATTGCCCCTGGTGAGAGCCACTGTTCTTCCCAATAACCTCATAAGCCGGTTGATTCCCCAAGGAATAGAAGAAACTGAAATACACATATTCAGTAGATGGCCCAAATCTAGCTCAGAATCTTTAAGCTCGTGGGCCTTTTTTAATTTCCAAAAGGCATGTGCATGAGACCCAAAGAAACAGGGACACACACACACACACAGAGAGAGAGAGACAGAGAGAGAGAGAGAGAGAGAAAAGGCAAGCCACCAGGTGTGGGACTACGAACCACAGTCAGTCATGTGGGAGTCCAACACCCTAACCACCACACCACTGGCTGGCTCACCCCAGGTCAGTACTTTAACTGCCGTCTTTGTTTCACATTGCTTTTTGTCTCTTTTCTTTTTTTCAATACTTTTTAAAAAATTTTACTTTATTTATTTATTTTTAATTTGACCAGAGAAGGACAGAGAGAGATGGAGAGAGAGAGAGAGAAAGAGAAAGTGAGAAAGCAAGCCACCAGGTCCGGGACTCAAACCATGGTCAGCCATGTGGGAGTCCAGCACCCTTTACCACCATACCTAACCTGCTAGCCCCCTGAAACTTTTTTTTTTTTAATGAATTAATGTACATTCATCCCCTAAGCATCGTCACAACATACCCAATGTGGTTTCCCATCTAGAATAAACTGCGTAGTGGCTTAATCGTGCCTGTTATCGTGGTTCAGGGGATAATAGGCTTTTAGTCTTTTTTTAATTATATGTGTTGGGAGAGGGATGGACTAGATGCTGCAATCCTCCAGCCGCCAGTAGTTTTTGCCATGGGGCAGGTGCCACCCCCGCCCTGCGTTCCATTCTTTTAATTTCATGCATACGTGCCAAGGATTTCTTCCTTTTTCTTTTTCTTTTTTTTGGAGAGGTTTTTGCTATAGGGTGCGTGCGCTCGCCTGAAAGACAGAGAGAGACAGAGAGACAGAAAGCGAGAAATGACCCCCCAGGGGGGATGGTCACGCCGCAATCCCTTCTCCTCCATTCTCCTCTCGGGATCTTGGGCACGCATGCACACGTGCCTGGTGTGTTTACACCACCAGGTCCAGGACGCGAACCGGGTCATGGGAGTCCAGCGACATAGCCATTACGCTAACTGCTGGTCCCAGTGCCAAGGATTTCTGTAGGCAAATACTAACTCATTCAGTCTTCTTGACAATCCTAGGAGGCAGGTCTTCTGACTATCCTCAATTTACTCCCAAGAGCCCTAAGACACAGAGAGATTAAGTAGCAGACCCTAGGTCACACTGTTTGTAAGTGGTGAAACCAGATTCGAACCCAGGTTGTCTGGTTCTAGCATCCTTGCCTGCTCTGCCCTCTCTTGCTTCTGGTTTCTGGATGAGAAAAATCTGTTTTTCTTTAAGAATTTTTTTAAAAATTTAATTCCATTTGTTATTATTATTGTTGTTGTTTTTTTTTTTTTGAGAGAGAGTTTTTTGCTATAGGGCATGTGCTCTCCCCAGAAAGACAGAGACAGAGAGACAGAAAGTGAGAAATCACCCTCCCGGGGGGATGGCCACACTGCAATCCCTTCTCCTCCATTCTCCTCTTGGGATCTTGGGCACGCACGCACACGCGTCCGGCGTGAGTTTAAGCCACTAGGTCTGCGACTGCAACCACAGTCGACTACGTGGGAGTCCAGCGACATAGCCATGACGCCAACTGCTGGTCCCCAGAATCCAGTATCTTTAACCACCATACCACCTGCTGGCTCCCAGAATGATTTGATTAACTTTATGTATTATTATTATTTTAATATTTCTAGGGAGAGACAGAGAGAGAGAGAGAGAGGAGAAATGAGAAAACAAGCCTCCAGGTCCGGGACTCAAACCACATTCGGCCATGTGGGCATGTCCAGTGCTTCAACCACCATACCACCTGCCGGCCCCCAATAAAATCATTGTTAAAAAAATAAAAGAAAATGAATCTAATGCCTGCTGATCTGTCCGGAGGCAGGGTTCAGGCAGTGACGCAAGCCCTGGGAGTGGCTGGAAATACAGATGGCACTTCCCTGACTCAGCCTGCTGCTCACGTCCCACTTTGTGGCCTGGTTCCACACAGGAGCTGGGGGCTGAGCATCCTTGTTCTAATCCATTCCCATCACGGCATTCTTTTAAAGTTTTTTTTTTTTTTTTTTTTTTAAACCATGGGGTGTGTGCTCTTGCTGGAGGGACAGAGAGAAATGGATAGTCATGCTGCAATCCCTTCTCTTTTCTCTTCTTTGAGACTTTGGGCACGCACACCCCTGTGCCCAGTGTGATTTGCAAGCCACCAGATCTGGGACTTGAACTGCAATTGGCTAGGTGGGAGTCCAGCTGCCTTCACCAGCATGCCACCTGCCAGCCCCCTATTTAATTTCATTTATTGCTGTTGCTATTATTTCCCCAGACGGGAGGGAGGAGTGAGAAAGCAACACCAGGCCTGAGATTTGAACTGCCGTTGGCCATGTGGGAGTCCAGCACCTTAACCACCATGCCATGGTCGACTTTAACTTCTCAAACTCCAGCCTTGGGGCAAACCCAAGCTGGGATGCTCGCTCTGCCTTCAGAGGGAGAAGAGAGAACTGATTCCTTCTCATTTCTTTTCTATCTTTTTTTTTTTTTTTTTTTTGGAGAGGTTTTTGCTATAGGGCGCGTGTGTCGCCAAAAAGACAGAGAGAGACAGAAAGCGAGAACTCACCCCCCAGGGGGCATGGCCACACTGCAGTCCCTTCTCTTCCATTCTCCTCTTGGGATCTTGGGCACGCATGCACACGCACCTGGCTTGAGTTTAAGCCGCCAGGTCCGGGACTCGAACTGCAGTCGGCTACGTGGGAGTCCAGCAACATAGCCATGACGCTAACTGCTGGTCCCCTTTCCCATTTCTCAGATGAGCAAATGGAGCCACTCACAACCACACAGTATTTCTGGGCTTGTTCCGAGGGTGAAGGAGGTGACCGGGAGGAGAAACTGGGGAAACCAGGTCTGGGCCTCGCCTCACTGCTCCTCCCTTATCCGCTCTAGTACCTTCCGAATGAGACCGGCCTCCAAGACGAGAAAAAGGTGTTGGATAACATGCATCACGTCATCCTGGTGTGGGTTGGACCTGTCCTGCCACTGTTGGTCCTGGTGCACCCTGATTACATCAAGCCCCTGGTGGGCGCCTCAGGTAGGTGAACTGGGCCTTTGAGCAGTGGGAGAAACTTCCACTCGCATGGGCTTCTGGGCTTCTAGTTGAGTTATCAAGAGGAAGGGTTATTTCAGTAGGGCTTTGAAGGGTGAAGAGGAGTTTGCCTAAGCACACAGGGCAATCCAGATTGTGGGAACAGCATGGGGCAGAGGTACGACAATGTCGAAGAGTTCTAGGAACTCAGTGGGGAATGTCCACCCACTTGGAAGTTAGAGCTGAGCCCGTTTAGATAGGAAGTTGGTGGCAGAAGGTTTTGTTAAGGAGGTATTGCTGAATCCCGGGCCATAGCCCTCCGATTGGCTGGTTTCTGACACTCCCACTATGGCCGATGTTCTCGGGGGCCCAGCCAGCAGTGGGTCCTCATCACGTGGGCTGACCCTGAGTGGCAGGGAGGGAGCTGCTACTTCCTATCTTCAGGTGCAGGACACCCTAGTGTACTTGGCACCCAGCTCCCATGTCCTCCTCCTCCAGGAAGCCTTCCTGACTTCCCCCAGATAGACCATAACTCTCCCCTCTATTCTAGCCCTTTTGGCCTGGGTGTGTCTGTGCTATGCTCTGTCTCATATGGGGGACTCTGGACCCTCAGTATAACCTCATGTGTGGCTGGGTACCTCCAGAGCATCAGGGACATTTGAAAAAAAGAGTGATGGGAGGGACCAGCAGTTGGCGTCATGGCTGTGTCGCTGGACTCCCATGTAGTCGACCGTGGTTCAAGTCCCAGACCCGGTGGCTTAAACTCACGCCGGGCGCGTGTGCGTGCGTGCCCAAGATCCCGAGAGGAGAATGGAGGAGAAGGGATTGCGGCATGGCCACCCCCTGTGGGGGCGGTGATTTTTCGCTTTCTGTCTCTCTGTCTCTCTCTGTCTTTCTGGCGAGCGCAGCACGTGCCCTATAGCGAAAACCCCTCAAAACAAAACAAAACAAAAACATCAACAAAAACCAAGCTGCTCACCCTGACCATCTTTTCTTAGACAATCTCCTCCAAGGTAGGGTCACCATCTCTTTTTACCAGAAGAGAAAACCTGGAGGCCAACAGGTGGTGTGGTGGTTAAGGCACTGGACTCCCACATGGCTGATTGTGGTTTGAGTCCCGGACCTGGTGACTTGCTTTCTCACTTTCCCTTTCTCTCTCTCTCTCTCTGCTCACATTAAAAGAATAATAATAATAATAACCAATAAAGTTAAATAAATAATTTTTAAGAAGACGACGAATCCTGGACACAGACTCTCCTAGGTAGGAGCTGTCTGCTTTAAAGGTTTGGCTGGGGAGGAGGCTTGAGAAGGTTTCTTAAAGCGCGTTTCAGTGAAGCTGGGCTTTGAACGCTGAGTAGGAATTTGCCAGGCGAGGATTATCGGATGGGGGATTTTGCTGGTGCAAAGGCGTATGTGTGTGAAAGGAGTAGGGGAGTTCAGGTATTATGGGATGGCTGGAGTGGAGGTGATGCTGGGGAGAAGCAGGAAATGAACTAGATTGCAAAGTGAATACGATTATACTTTTAAAAACGATTATGCATTTTATTCACTCATTTATTTTAATTTGACCGGAGAGAGAAAAGGAGAAAGCAAGCCACCAGCTCCAGGACTCGAACCATGGTTGGCCATGTGGGAGTATCCAGCGCCTTAACCCTCATGCCACCTGCTGGTCTCACGATTGTACTTTTTTTTTTTTTTTAATAATGATTTATTTTATTTTATGTCATCATTCATTTTAATTTTTAGTTTGACCAGAGAGAGACAGAGGGTGAGAGTGAGAGAGAGAGGAAGTGAGAAAGCAAGCCACCAGATTCAGGACTTGTGCCATGGTTGGCCATGTGGGAGTGTCCAGCGTCTTAACCCCCCTTTCACCTGCTGGTCTCACGATTGTACTTTTTTTCTGGGTGGGGTGATCGGGAGCCGTGGGAGGTGTTTGAGCAGGGCAGGCAATAGTCAGATCGGGGTTCAGAGCCTGGAGTCCAAAGCCCAGAGAGGAAGGAGAAGCAATGAAATGTTCACTTTCTTCTCCTGTGCTGCTACCTCTTCCAGGAAGCCTACCTGGACTTCCAGCAGGCTTTTCTCTGTCTCCCCCTTAGCACCTGGCATGCTTTCTACCTTCCTGGGAATTCCATGGTATGTCTTTGCTTCCCTTTCCTCCCTCCCCACCTGGGAGCACCTCTAGGCAGGGTGTGGAGCTGGGCTGCCTCTGGGTAACCAGCTTCACCAACATGGGGTGGGCACAAGAGGTGACAGAGGAAGTGCGTTAATGGGAGAATGAGTGGCCATGAGTGCACACCCAGTTGGCCAATTCCTAGGGCGCGTGTGTGTGGGTGGCTGAGTCACTTACAGGTAAAAGGCACTTCCTTCCTGGACCCCTGCCCATTCAGTCCCTAATCCGTTTGTACAGAGAAGGAGGATTTCCCCACTCACTTATCCTTCCACCTATCCACCCACCCATCCGCCTAGTCATCTGTCTAGCTATGTTTTTCTTTTTTCTATTTTTTTTTATTTTAATTTTTTTAGTGTTTTTAAAGAATTGTTTTTGGGGGACCAGCAGTTAACCTAATGGCTACGTTGCTGGACTCCCATGAAGTAGACCGTGGTTCAAGTCCCGGACCTGGTGGCTTAAACTCACGCCGGACATGTGTGCGTGTGTGCCCAAGATCCCGAGAGGAGAATGGAGGAGAAGGGATTGTGGCGTGGCCATCCCCCCTGGGGGATGATTTCTCTCTTTCTGTCTCTCTGTCTGTCTGGCGAGCGCACACGCCCTACAGTGAAAAGAATTATTTTTGGGCCGGCAGGTGGCATGGTGGTTAAGGATACTGGTCTTCCATATGACCAACTGCGGTTCAAGTCAGTCCCAGACCTGACGGCTTGCTTTCTCACTTTCTCTCTCTCTGTCCCTCTCTGGGCAAATTAAAATAAATAAATAAGCTTTTTTTTCTTTTTTTTTTTTTGAGAGGTTTTTAGCTATAGGGCGCGTGCGCTTGCCAGACAGACAGAGAGAGACAGAAAGCAAGAAATCACCCCCCCAGGGGGGATGGCCATGCCGCAATCCCTTCTCCTTCATTCTCCTCTCGGGATCTTGGGCACGCATGCACACGCGCCCAGCGTGAGTTTTAAGCCACCAGGTCCGGGATGCGAACCGCGGTTGACAACGTGGGAGTCCAGCGACATAGTCATTATGCTAACTGCTGGTCCCAATAAAGTTATTTATAAATAAATAAATAAATAAATAAACACACAAATGAACTCGGAGTCATCCTCGCCTCCTGTCTCGCCACAGCTGCCATTGCCCCAAAGGATGACCTTTTCTATGGCTTCCTGAAACCATGGCTGGGTGAGTACAACACAGGGTGGGCTGAGGCTGGGACTTCAGAGAAAAAAAAAAAGGGGGCCGGATGAGGGGGTCCATCGGAGGGCTCCAGAGTAACAGGAGAAGGCCCCTGACTTCAGTCTTGTCGACCCAGGGGATGGATTGCTGCTTAGCAAAGGTGACAAGTGGAGCCGGCACCGCCGTTTGCTCACTCCTGCCTTCCACTTCGACATCCTGAAGCCCTACATGAAGATCTTCAACCAGTGCACTGACATCATGCATGTATGTCCCCAGACGTCACGGGACGAGGGCGTCCTGGGAGGGAGACCGGTCCAAGCTCCAATTCATGGTCAGGACACATGATGTCAGAGGCCTCACTTCCTTTATAAAGTGGGCATATTGGGACCACAGATGGCCTAATGGTTATGTCACCGGACTCCCACATAGTTGACATGGTTCGAGTCCTGGACCTGGCAGTTTAAAACTCACGCTGGGTGTTGGGACCAACAGTTAGCATCATGGCTATGTCACTGGACTCCCATGTAGTCGACCATGGTTCGAGTCCCGGACCCGGTGGCTTAAACTTACACCAGGCGCGTGCGCGTGCGTGCCCAAGATCCCGAGAGGAGAATGGAGGAGAAGGGATTGTGGCATGGCCATCCTCCCCTCGGGGGTGATTTCTCACTTTCTGTCTCTCTGTCTCTCTGTCTGTCTGGCAAGTGCACGTGCCCTGTAGCGAAAACCTCTCCAGTTAGCCATTACGCTAACTGCTGGTCCTGCCGGTTTGTGGTTTTCAAACCCAGGTACCATGCGTCTCTCTTCCAGGCTAAGTGGCGGCGGTTGGCAGCGGGCTCGGTGGTCTCCCTGGACATGTTCAAGCACGTCAGCCTCATGACCCTCGACAGTCTTCAGAAATGCGTCTTTAGCTACAACAGCAACTGCCAAGAGTGAGTGGGGCCTCTCTGGGGAAGACAGAGCCTGCCGCTCCCAGGGTGAAGGGTGGGAGGGGAAAGAGAACTCCCCCGGGCCAAGAGACCCTGAATGGTGGGCCCCATCCCATGGATAATGCATGTGCTTTTGGGAAACGGACGTCACCTCTATGAACCCAAGTTCCCTTATCTAAAATCTGGGTATCAGGACTAGCGGATGGGCGTGGTAGATAAGATGGCTGCATCCCACATGGCTGACAGTGCAGTTCAAGGGCCAGACCCTGCAGCTTGAAAAACAGGCTGACTCCTGTGTGTGTGTCTGTGTGGGTGCCCAAAATCCCAAAAGGAGGGACAGATGGAGAAGAGATCCCACTGTAACCATTTCTTTCTTTCTTTTTCTTTTTTTTGGAGAGGTTTTTGCTATAGGGCACGTGTGCTCACCAGAAAGGCAGAGAGAGACAGAGAGACAGAAAGCGAGAAATCACCCCCCCCCGGGGGGAGATGGCCACGCCGCAATCCCTTCTCCTCCATTCTCCTCTCGGGATCTTGAGCACTCACGCGCATGCGCCTGGCGTGAGTTTAAGCCACTGGGTCCAGGACTCAAACCACGGTTAAATACATGAGAGTCCAGCGACATAGCCATGATGCTATCTGCTGGTCCCTCTTTCTTTTTTTTTTTTTAAAAATGAAATTATTTATTTAATTTTATTTATTATTATTATTCAATTTGATCAGAGAGAAACAGAGAGAGAGAGTATGTCAGAAAGCAAGCCTCTAGGCCCAGGACTTGAACCGTGGTCGGCCATGCGGGAGTCCAGCACCTTAACTACCACCCCACCTGTCAGCCCCCAGTAAGACCATTTCTCATGGAGGTGCTTCCCATTCTCTCTCTGGCCAGTGCATACACCCTCTGGCAAAAAAAATAAATAAATAAAAATAAAAATTATCTTCAGTTTTGTGATTACTATGCATGCTCTCACCAGACTGAGACAAAAATAGAGAGAGGGAAAGTGAGAAAGCACCCCCCGGGGGGATGGCCATGCTGAAATCCCTTCTTCTCTTGGGATTTTGGGCACACACATGCACCAAGTGTGTTTTGCAAACTGCTGAGGCTGGGACTAGAACTCTGAAGTTGAATCAGGACTTGAACCACCATGCCATGGGCTGGTCTACATCAGAAATACTTTTCCTTTTTTTTTATATTTTCTTTCAGTTTTTGCTATAGGCCATGTATACTTGCCAGAGAGAAAAAGAGGAAGAAAAACTGAGAAATTACTCCCTACGGGATGGTCATGCTGTGATCCCTTCTCCTCCATTCTCCCTTTAGGATTTTAGGCTCACACATGCACACACACACACACACACACACACACACACACACCCCAGGGATGTTTTACAAGCAGCCAGTCTAGGACTCGAACTACAGTCGGCCATATGCAAAAACAGTACTTTAATCACCATGCCATGTACCAGCCCCAGCCCAACCAAATAATTTTAAAAAATAGTTATTTATTTAATTTTATTTTTTATTATTATTCATTTGTTTGTTTGTTTATTTATTTATTTATTTTTTAGTTTGACTAGAGAGAGACAGAGGGTGAGAATGAGAGAAAGAGGAAGTGAGAAAGCAAGCCACCAGATTCAGGACTTGAACCCTGGTTGGCCATGTGGGAGTGTCCAGCACCTTAACCACCACGCCACCTGCTGGTCCCTGTTATCATTATTTTTTAATTTGACCAGAAAGAGAGAAAGGGAAAATGAGAACACAAACCACCAGCTCTAGGACTCAAACCGTAGTCAGCCATGTGGGAATCCAGCGCCTTTAACCACCACGCCACCTGCCAGCCCCAAGAATTATTCTTATTTAACTTTATTTATTTATTTATTTTGATTGGAACAGAGAGGGACAAAGCGAGAGAGAGAGAGAGAGGAAGTGAGAAAGCAAGCTTCCAGGTCCGAGATTCGAACTGCAGTCGGTTATGTATGAGTCCAGTACCCTTAACCACCATGCCACCTGCTAGCCCCCATATTATTATAAGTTCTTAATTTGACCAGAGAGCCAGAGAGGGAAAATGAGAAAGCAAGCTGCCAGGTCCAGGACTTGAACCATGGGCAGCCATGTGGGAGTCCAGCGCCTTCACCTTCACGCCACTGCCATCCCCAGCACAACCAAATCTTACAGCGCGAATTCTGGGGGACACCCACCCGCTAGCAGGGCCTCTCTTCTCCCGCAGGAAGATGAGCGATTACATCTCTGCCATCATTGAGCTGAGCGCGCTGGTCGTGCGGCGGCAGTACCGCCTGCACCACTACCTGGACTGCATCTACTACCGCACGGCGGACGGGCGGCGTTTCCGCCAGGCCTGCGACACTGTGCACCGCTTCACCACCGAGGTCATCCAGGTGCGGCGCCGGGCGCTGCAGCAGCAGGGGGCCGAGGCCTGGCTGAAGGCCAAGCAGGGCAAGACCTTGGACTTCATCGACGTGCTGCTCCTGGCCAGGGTGAGGCAGGGCGAGGTCCCCTAAGGGCGGGCCGCCTGGGCGGGCCTCCTGGGAATTGCACCAACTACACAGAACGGTAGATGTGGGACCAGGTGGATTGAAAATTACGGGGGAGGAGGTGGTGGTGGGACCAGCAGTTGGCGTAATGGCTATGTTGCTGAACTCCCACGTAGTCGACTGTGGTTCGAATCCCAGACCTGGTGGCTTAATCTCATGCCCGGCGCGTGTGCGTAAGAGCCCGATAGGAGAATGGAGGAGAAGGGATTGCGGCGTGGCCATCCCCCCTGGGGGATGATTTCTTGCTTTCTGTCTCTCTGTCTCTCTCTGTCTTTCTGGCAAGCACACGCGCCCTATAACAAAACCTCTCCCCGAAAAAAGAAAATGACACCGGACACATGTGCGTGCATGCTAAAAAGTTCTCAGAGGAGATGGGGTTGCAGCATGGCGCCTGGGGGGTGGTTTCTCACTTTTTCTCTGTCTCTCTCGGGCGAGTGCATGTGCTTTATAGCAAAAACTTAAAAAACGAACAAACTTGAGCCGCTCTGGCTCCAGCCGGTAGTGTGGGGGTTAAAGCAGCTGGATCTCAGGACCAGCAGGTGGCATAATGATTACGTTGTTGGACTCCCACTAGTCGATTGCAGTTCGAGCCTTGGACCCAGCAGCTTAAAACTCACACCGTGTGTGTGTGTGTGTGTGTGTGTGTGTGTGTGTGTCTGTGTGTGTGTATGTATGCCCAAAATCCCAAGAGGAGAATGGAGAAGAAGGGATCGCGGTATGGTTGTCCTCCCCCACGGGGGGGGCGATATCACGCTTTCTGTCTCTGTGTCTCTGTGTCTCTCTGGGGAGTGATTTCATGCTTTCTGTGTCTCTCTGGCAAGTGTATGTACCCTGCAGCAACATAACAAAAATCTCTCTAAAAATAAATAAATAAATAAATAAAGCAGCCAGATCCCACATGACTGACTGAATGGTTCACGTCCTGGACCCGGTGGTTTGAAAACCACACCAGGCGCCTGTACATACGTGTCCAAAATCCCAAGAGGAAGATGGAGAAGGGGTTGTGATGTAGTCCTCCCCTCTGGCGGGGTGTTTTCTCAATTTCCTTTTCCTCTCTCTCTCTAGCGAGTGCACATGTCCTACAGCAAAGAGAGACAGAGACAGAGAGAGAGAGAGAAGGCCTTTGTGTGTCTGTGGACTGAGAGGGTGGGGTGAGGCGTGCTGAGCATCCTTCACTCCCCATTCCAGGATGAAGAGGGAAAGGAGCTGTCGGACGAGGACATCCGCGCTGAGGCGGACACCTTCATGTTTGAGGGTGAGGACGAGGAGTGAGGCTGGGGGACCGGGGCGGGGCCCTGCCGCACCACAGGAAGCGTCTCTGCTACCCCCTGGCTTCATTTGGCACCTCGTCTGCTGGCAGGTCACGACACCACGTCCAGCGGACTCTCCTGGGTGCTGTTCAACTTGGCGAAGTACCCGGAATACCAGGAGAAATGCCGGGAAGAGATTCAGGATGTCATGAAAGGCCGGGAGCTGGAAGAGTTGGAGTGGTCAGTCGGGTCTGGGGGGTGACGGGGGAGCAGGGTGAGGCCAGAGCGCTGGGTGAGACTCTCTCCTCTAGAACTTTTTGATTTTGTGACATGAGACAGGTCACGTAAGCTTCCTGAGTTCTGATTTCTTTTTTGAAAGAATTATTTAATTTATTGTTTTATAAACAACTGTTTCTTTGGGACCAGTGGTTGGCTAATGGCTATGTCGCTGGACTCCCATGTAATTGGTTATAGTTTGAATCCTGGACCCGGTGGCTTAAACTCACGCCTGGCGCGTGTGCGTGCGTGCCCAAGATCCTGAGAGGAGAATGGAGGAGAAGGGATTGCGGTGTGGCCATCCCCCCTGTGGGGGGTGATTTTCAATTTCTTTCTCCTTTTCTGGAGAGTGCACACGACCTATAGCAAAAAAAAAAAAAAAAAGAAAAAAAAGGGAAAAGAAAAAGAAAAACCTCTTTAAAAAAGCTTATTTAATTGTGTTTATTCATTAGTTTTTTTTTTTTTTTTAATTGACCAGAGAGGGACAGAAAGAGAGAGAAAGTGAGAAAGCAAGCCACCAGGTCCAGGACCCAAACCATGGTCACCCATGTGGGAATGTCCAGCACCTTAACCACCACACCACCTGCTGGTCCCTTAATTTAATTTTTTAAAAGATTTATTTATTTATTATTATTATTTTTGCACATGAATTTGCCAGAGAGATGTGGGGGAGAGTGAGAAAGCAAGTTGCCAGGTCCAGAACTCAAACTGTGGTTGGCCATGTGGGAATTCCAGCACCTCAACCACTATGCCACCTGTTGTCCCCTATTATTAGTATTATTATTTAAACAATTATTTTATTTAACTTTATTTATTTATTCATTTATTCATTTATTTTTTAAATTTGACCAGAGAGGGACAGAGAGAGAGAAGGAAAACAAGAAAGCAAGCTGCCATGTTTGGGACTCAAATTGTGGCCGGCCAGGGTGGGGTCCAGTGCCCCCAACCACCACCATGCCACCCACTGGGCCTTTATGATTATTTTTAAAATTTGCCATAGGGAATATGTGCTCACCAGAGAGAGATGGAAAGTAAGACAGCAAGCTACTAGGCCCAAGACTTGAACCATGGTCAGCCACGTGTGAGTCTCGTACTCTAACCACCACATCACTTTCTGCTCCCCCCCTACCCTGAATTTCTTCAGCTATAAAATGGGGATAATGGTAGTTGCTAAGATGCTGTGTTGTTAAGACGCAGTGCTCTGGGGGCCAGCAGGTGGCATGGTAGTTAAGGCGCTGGACACTCCCACATGGCTGACCACGGTTCTAGTCCTGGACCTGGTGGCTTGCTTTCTCTCTCTCCTTCTGTGTGTGTCTCCCTAGTTAACATTTAAATAAATAAATAAATACAATTTGAATAAAAGGGGGCCAGCAGGTGATGTAGTGCTTAAGGCACTGGAGTCTCACAGGAGTGCATGTGCCCTATAGCAAAAAATCTTTTTTTTTTCTTAAGGGGTTTTCACCTCAGGGCATGTGCGCTCGCCAGAGAGAGACAGAAACAGAGACAGAGAGAGGGAAAGTGAGAAATCACTCCCCCTGAGGGATGGTCATGCCACAATCCCTTCTCCTCCATTCTCTTTTCAGGATTTTGGGCACTCATGCACACATGCCTGACTTGAGTTTTAAGCTGCCCTATCCAGGACTTGAACCGTGGTTGACTACATGGGAGTCCAGCAATGTAACCATTACACCAGCTGCTGGTCCCTCCTATGTCTCTCCAGTGAGCACATGTGCCCTATAGCAAAAGCTACAGCAAAAAAAAAAAAACAAAACTAGGGAACCAGCAGTTAGCGTAATGGCTAATTTGGTGGACTCCCACGTAGTCGACCGCGGTTCG